GGGGGAGCACGTGGCACACACAGGACAATGACCGAGAGGCCAGGTAACCACATCCTTTATAGCCACGAGGGCCCGGGGGTCTCCTGGAGCCGCCCTGGGGGTTACACAGCTCAGAGGTTTATAAAGGGTCAGAAGACCCCTCTGAGACCCCAAAACAGCAGCGCTCCCCACAGACGACCACCTGACCGAACACCAGAGCTGGAAAGGGGCCGACGAGCTCGGTGGTCCCTCCAACCAGGTAATACTGTTTAGAGTCCGATACTGAGGTTACAAGTGAACTTTTAAATGACTCTTGCCCATTTGGCTCTAGAGTTCGAAACACACTTTATGCAACAGGAAATGAATGAGAGCCATCAGCTGCTGGGAGGCATGTGGTCGCCACAAGGCCGGGTTGAGAACACCCCGAGCCGGGCAGAGCGGACACGGCCACGGTGCCGTTCAACACCAGCCTTATCACTTCACACACATTGCTCACAGACCAGACCACCTAAGGACATGAACATTTTTCCAAAGGTTTAAAGCAACAGCTGACACTGTGTTATGTAGTGACAATGTCCCATAAAACAAGGATTCCACGAAAGCCTTCTGAAACAGGTGGCCTCGTCCGCCGCTGCCAATGAAGATGGAAGACGCGGCTCCTCCCGCCCCACATCCTGAGGCTGGCCGACCTCCTGAGCAAGAGTACAACGAAATGATTTCAACCCATCGTCCCTCTGACACCGGCACACCGATGGGCGGATGGATCAGCACCTTCGAACACCTTCATTTGGAGGGTAACCCGCCCACACTGACTCCGGCACGAATCAAGAGTCAGCCGCTTCCTGACGGCCTGTTTGGTCAAAGTGCCGCCAGCCCATCAACCAGGGGAGGGTTGCTGACCCGCATGCACAGCATCAGCCTGTCCCCACCGCGGAACACGACAACGGCACAGAAACCCCACACGGGCCCCGGTCTCCGAGGCCAGCAAACTAGGTCTTGCTTCGCCGGAGCAGCGTGGCGGCCGGGCTGTGGCTGCCCTGGAACTTGAGGCTCTGCAGGTTGACGTGCGCCCCATGCTTGAGCAGCGTCTCCACCGTCTTGGCGTGTCTGCCCCGGGCGGCCAGGTGCAAGGCGCTGAGCCCCTGCTCATCGGACAGGTTGAGCACGTCAGCACTGACCAGCTCCTCCACCACCTCCGAGTGCCCGCTGGCGGCAGCCAGGTGCAGCACCGTCTGGTTCCGGGGCCCCCGGGCCAGCACATTGGCCTTCTCCTCCACCAGCAGCTTGACGGTCGCCAGGTGCCCGTTCCGAGAAGCCAGGTGCAGGGCAGTGCAGCCTTCCGCGGTCACTGCCTCCCTGCTGGCCCCCCGGTGCAAGAGCAGCCTGGCGGTGCTCGTGTGCCCGGTCTCCGCGGCAACGTGCAGGGGCGTCTGCTCGAGCAGGTTGCAGAGGTTGACGTCGGAGCGCAGGTCG